TAGGAAAAACATAGGGTGAAACTTAACTTCATACTGACTTTAATAGGTCATTACGAATTTATTTTGCCTTTTGTTTTAAGACCCGAGTAACATTTTTCAGTCAATCATGTTTGTACACATCCAAGTAAAAATGTTTAGTAAGTCTTGATGACAAATTTACTTTGGAATAAAACTTCAGATTTTAAAGTCTCACCAAAAGCCATCGAGTATGAATCCATGAACGATGTCACACATGATACCAATACTTTGTATCAACGCACAATTTATTTCCAGTTAATGAGTTTAATTTGCTTCTTTAACACCAAACATAAAAGACACTGAAAAAACTAGTAAAAATTAGGTATACATCAAATCAGCCATGCTCAGAGAAAGAAAACCTTTTATTATTCACATGAAAATTATGACCAAGTGAGCATATCACAAATGATAGAACTCTTCCGGAGATGTGAAATAAGCTCAGATATCTGCCTTATAATAAGTTTTCACAAAAGGACTTGCACAGGATCTTTCTGCAAAAAGAATAAATGCTGCAGCCAAAATTGAAAGAAAATCAAATCAAGGCGTTACACAGGAGCAATCAGGAGAATACTGGAAACAGCCAAGCACTCTGCACCGCAACGCCACCTTAACAGCTAACCAGCAAAACTCAACTGCTACGCAACTGCGCCTAGTGCATAGAAAATACACAAGAGAGATTATTAGAATCATGTTGTTGTGAAATTTTTCCATTTAAACCATAACACCTGCTCAGTTAGCAAGCTTTGATGTCACGGTTTTACATAAAGGTTTTTTTAGTGGCCAAATTTCAGTCTCTACCCAGTCCTTTAAGGTTAAAGAAATATTCATAACATCAAAATTGTCCATTAATAAGTGTTTATTAAGAACAAAAAACTAATTAAAATGAACTTACTTTAGTCTGGGAGTTTCAAAAACAAAAAACAAACTACCAAAAATGAAGAGAAGCGATTTCACCTAGTAGCCCAATTTAGGCATAAAGATCATTTAATATCACATGAAATTCAAATGTATGAGACAAAAACAATTGTGGGCAACAGAAAGAACAACAAGTAGTCATTTAAAAGATTTAGACCAAATTACAATAACCTTTCGGTCTGATATATGGATAATTTGGGTATCCTCAGATGGACATCTGTTCGGTGCGATCCTCGAAGATTCTACCAGCTGACATCATCTAGAAGAAAAGAAGTAGTAAGTTAGTTTCAAGGAGCAAAGCAGAGGGGGTTCTACAGGAATCGTCATAAAATGAGGCATTGCATGTTACGCAACGCTCGATAACTGGTCCTCAGTTATACAGAACAAACAGGCACTCTTTCCACACATAACGAGAAACTTGCCATATTTAAAATTAATCTATGGACCTCATTTTTGTTCTGCAAGAAACCTCATGTACCTGATGTTTGTTCTGCGAGAAACCTCATGGGTTGAGAGCCAACAAACCTGAGGGTGAAATTAATTTCTCATAGCCACTTTAAGTGTCGGCAAGCTGAGGTATACTTTATTGGCAGTTAGAACAATCTAATTACTCAAAGTACTAAATTATAGGCCTGTTTAAAATCAGATACCCAGCAGCCTGACAGCTTAAACTAGCTCCAAGAACACACCCCATATCCATACCGCTTTTGCCTATGCCACGATAGACATGAGTTTGTGACAAGGATGATGAAAA